AGTTTTTTCTGATGATGATGAGGAAGGGCCAAAGTAAATGATGACTACAAATGTTGCAGAATCCAATCCTTTGTTTCTGTTTATGTTCCCAACCTTAAGCAAACAATAAATGCATAGTATCCTGCATGCCAAACTGAAGTCTTAATAAAAGAATTTATTCTTGGTAAACATGGCAGAATTAGGCTGTATTGAAAATGGAGTCAGGATTAGTGGTATTGAAATGTGAGGAATTTAATTCTTTTCCAGTCTCCCTGAGGATCATGTTCTCAAATATTAGAAACAGAACATTAAGGGACTAAAGAAGGACTTAAGTGCTGCAAGTTTGAATTAAAATTAGGATTTTTCTCTCTCCAGTGGGACAGCTAAGCCAAAAAAAGTTTCTAATTTTTGAGTATACTGCCTCAGAACACTACTGACAAGCAATACACATGGTACTGCTGTCAAAAATTTAAGTTATTTTCATTTTATGAATCCTATATATCAGCTTTATTGCTTGCTGTATTATGCTGAAAGGCTTCACATGCTGATGTGAACCAGCTCCATACATCCATATAACTACTGGAATTGCCCTGATAGTGGAGGCATTTTTTCACTATTCTCAAAATCATCTGTAGTAACAGAACATGTTTCACTGTCAGAAACATCAGCCAAGACTTGGAGGCATTTGCTTTCATATGTATACACGTGTACATGCACCATTGCTTTAATTTATACTTTCTCTCTGTCCCTTTTGCATTGCTTTCCTTTAAGTTGTAATAAGATCTTCACTTTCTCCTTGGATAGCCACTAGGCATGAACAGCATTTCTCAGATTTTCTTATCTGATGTTCCTGTTTGTGCCCGACTGAAGGCAAAAAGAAGGTTGGGCTAACTTATTACAGCAGAAGGGATCATCAAAATACAACTCTTCTTCTTCGCAGTGTCTGAACTGTGCGTCTTGAAGCCCTCCAGAGACTCTTATAATACCACGGGAACCTGCATGGAAGGTCTGATTCTTGTATGTGCTTAATACGTCATGCGTGGGACCTAAAATGACAGTTCTTGTTAGCTGTGAATCTAACCCATGGATGCTTCAGTTCTGACTTAAAAGAACTGTTTGTCCAGGCGGTTTCCTGCTCTCTAATTAGAGAATTAGAGGAAAGGAAGAGCCTTTCTGTGGTGTAAATTTTTATTGGGCTCTGTGGTACTTCAGTAGTGTTTCAGATAAACTTCATTATATTTTTGGGTTGTGCTTCCAGAGGAGGTTCAATGGTTGCTTTGAAAAGCATGCTTTGCAGTTTTAGCATCAATATTCACCTTGATGAGACTTTTGGATCTGTATTTCCTCCCTAGGGTGATCTATATGAGGAAGAAAAAGGGTAAATTATAATACTCTTAAGAGCTCAAGTATCTCCTCAAACACTGTTTTGTTGTTCTGGGTTGGTTTTTTTTTTTTTGTCTCCACTACAGGTAAACAGTTTATGCATTGCCTTTTAAGTCTTTGAGACGGTTACAGAACAGGAAGCATTATAGTTAAGAATTGCTCCATTCAACTTCTTGCCCATTTTGCATTGTTTCTAGTGAGTTATGTACAATACTGCAGTGAAATATTGGTGACTCCTCAGAAAAAAAATGCATACTTTTCCATGAGCTGCATATACATACCATCATCCTCTGTGTCATCTGTCAACACAGTGGTCTTGCCAAAAAAAAAAAAAGATTAAAAAAGTGGTGTTTCCAGGAAGCCAGGAACCCCAGTAACCAGAGTGTTCTGTCTCACCCTGCCTTTCTGACCACAAAATGTGGCTTTTTTTGAGAACATGACCTCTGACACAGTGAGGAGAAATGCTTCGCTGGTGAGCAAATGTCTCTGCTGAGCTGCTGCTCCACAGCTTTTCAGTGTGGGCAAGATGGGAGTGTTTTGGAAGTTCATGAGGAGAAAACTCTGTGCCTCAAAAGAGCAGCCTCAGTGCTGGCTTTGCGGTGTTGGAGGGAAGTTTTAAGGCTGGGGAAGATGTCCTGGCTGTCCGTCCCAGCTGCTCTCCCCAGCGGAAAGGCAGAGGAAGTCCAGGCCTGCTATGTGTGTTTGTGCATGCATGTGCAACACCTACTTCCACTGGTTTGCATCACACGAAAAATGTTTTCCTCCCCTTCCCTTTGCCTGTACTGGCTCCTGCCAACCATCTCTTCTCTCTTCTTTGCAACGTTATCAGCCTTGGCACATGCTGCTTTTCTTCTTTGCTTGGTTCAGATATGCTCTACTCCTTTAGCTTTTCTTTTCCCTTCCTTCCTTGCTGGATGGAAGCAGCTGAGGCTATAAAAATTTCCTCTCTGAGCAGAAAAGATACTAAATTGAAGAGCTTGTGATCAGACTCACTTATCAGTTATGCCAGAGTTAACTTTTAAAGATGCTTGTGTTATATGAACATAACAGTCTTGTGGTGAGCTAATGAAAGCAATGGAGAGAAAGTATTGTTTTATAGCTATTAAGTCAGTCAAAGTCTGTGGTAGCACTGAGGCAGTAGCGATGTGAGTTTGCAGCGATTAAGAAAACCTTATCTGGTTTCCACTCCCTTAGCTGAAATGTCCAAAGTGCAATGTTTCACTGACACTTCCCCACTCTCCAAGAAGCTCTTCATAATTATTTTGGGAGAAAAGTACTTTGGCTTTTCTATTACAAAAAATATTTCAGGCAGGTATGGAAGTCGGGTAAACAGTTTATCCTTGATTTTGATTCTTTTTTTCAATGGGTCTTGAATCCTGGGGTGGCTGTATATCAAGCTGTTTAAGCTGCATTTTAGCATCTTATGCTGTGCTGATGCTGTCTTTAGTTGTCCTGTATTGCCTTCTCTTGTAATAGCACTCATGTAAAGCTTAAGCCCAGATATACATTAGCCTTTCCGCATGGCAGTCCGCTACCTTTTCCTCTTCCCCTAGGAACTTCTGGATCTATTGGCTGGTTTTGGACTGACCCAGAAACTGCAGTGTGGCTCTGTGTTCCCAAAGCTGGGGCTGGTGAGGGTCATGCTGGGCCCCCCTTGCACCCATGCCAGGGCAGCCAGGGTGGCTGGGCTCCCTCTTGCCAGCATATGATTGCTGGGGAGGGGTTTGCTCATTAATCATTGATGACTTGAACCTGGAAAGATGCTGGATGTCCTCAACTCCTTTTGAGTCAATGGAAGTTCATGGCAGTTGGTTTCTTAAAAAATTAGACTTTCTGGAAGTCAGGGCATATAAAACATTTGTGCTTTTACCTCACAAAGCCACAAAGCTCTTCAGAAAAGGGCATGGAACATACTATAGATGAAGTGTTCAGAGGGGAAAACAAAAATTTCCTGACTTATTCTTGGCACCGAATATTTAATCATTACATTTGGTCTAAGAAAAAGTACAAACTCTCAACACTGCCAATTTGTTTTACCCACAAACCAACAACAGACTGATGATGTGCACACAAAGGTTATTTATTTTGAGCACAGCTAGGGAATGTGAGTATTCCAAATGCTTCCTTATATCTCCCCATGGGATCTCTTTAATAAGTTGCATAATATTTTTCTGTGTTAGAGGATTGTAAGATAGACATGGTAGATCTCTTCTTTACTTAAACACACTGGCTATGTTTTCTTTTTTCTTCTTTGAAGGAAATGCAAGCAGAGAATGAATAGTTTGTGAACAGTGTTAAATTAGAAAGCATAACTTCAAAGGCCTTTCTAACAATTATTCTGAAACTATCAGCCAACAGATGATTTTCCAAGCAAAATAACTAATTATGTGGGAGGTTAGGCAAGCATTGATATAGTTTTTGATATCTTGAACTGGTAGATAATTCTTTAATAGCAAGTAAAAGAATACATGGCTTAAATATCTGGACTTAAGTCCAGGTACACCCTCTTCTGAGGGCAAGTTTATATATAGCCTGTAACAATTTTACTGGAAAATGTGAAAGCCACTTGGATGTTTTCTATGGACTTTGGCTGACTCTAAGACACTCCCTATTAAAGGTTAAAGAAGGATAAGGGAGTGCCACAACGAAAGTATTTTAATTCTTGCAGACTTATGTTAATTTGGAATAGCACTGCTCTTACAGAACGTAAGGGTATTTGTCTGGAATATTAGGCACAGTTTGACGATGACCATGTTACTAGGAAAAGCCAATGGGACTTAGTGGGCCAAACATCATTACTTTGCATCATGAGCACATGACAAGGTAAGACTCCAAACAGATAACTTTAGCATTTAACATGTGAAGACGTGGAGATAAAATTCCTTTCTATGCACTAAAGTACCGAACTCTCTTTCATTTGGCAAGAGAACTGGAAAAAGGGAGCTCTTTGTGGTTACTTGTTTTCTGTTTCTTCAGTTCTGGTGTGACTTGTGATAATGTTTCTGCTTAGCCTGTTCTGTGCGATTGCCCCTGGCAAGTGATTGTGCCAATTCTAAATTGCTTTGGCTAAGATGTGCTCTTGGCCCTAGTTTGTGCAATGGGAGAAAATTCCCTCAAATAGAAACCTGCAGCCAAAAGTCAACACTAAGAATTAAGACCAAAACGTTACTGGAGATGTACTTGCTGTGACATAAATTCTGCTTGGGAAAAGCATCTGGACATTTGGGTTTTCTTCATCTGTTATCTAGCACTTATCACTGAACGGAAATTAAAGGAATCCTCAGGCTCTGTGAAGCTGGTTGTTTCGAAACTGAGGCTTGAGTTTGTAGCATTTTTATGACATTTTGTGAAGTACAGGGCATGACAGCACAAGTATGTTGTGCGTACTTTTAACACTTATCTTGGATACCGCTACTAACTTTTTGTACCTGGTTATCTGGCTGCCATATACTGTAGTTTTATGTTCATATTGGATATACAGTCTGTGGGTTTAGTTTTGTTAGGCAGAAACTGCTTTAACATAACCTGTGTTTGTCTTTTCTAGGAATAACATGCTTGGAAGTACTTGGTAGTGTTGGTCACCTGTACCTCTGCACAAGAGCACCAGCTTAATCCTTTTCAAACACATCTTTCAGAACATGGGGGAAAACGATGATGAAAAATACAGTCAAGCTGGCCAGATATTTGAAAACTTTGTACAAGCATCAACGTGCAAAGGTACCATTCAGGCCTTTAATATCCTCACTCGCCAACTTGAATTAGATCCTTTGGACAATAGAAACTTTTACACCAAACTGAAGTCAAGAGTGACCACGTGGAAGGCCAAAGCTTTGTGGAACAAGCTTGATAAAAGAGCAAGCCACAAAGAGTATAAACGCGGAAAATCTTGTATGAACACTAAGGTAAGTGGAGAAGCTCATTTTTGGATTTCATAGCTTAGAATCTTTTCAGCTAGTCTTTCTGCAGAAGCAAGGTTTATACCATCATGTGCAGTGCAATGTGTCTGTTTGTGTAACTCTGCCTTTACTGTGCTTTTTGAAACTGACTGATACTAACTGATTTTGAGAAATTTTCAGGTATTTTTGTTCTGCACGTTTTGTGGAAACACACAGCATGTAAGAGCGGTCCTAAAAGCACCCTGCTTTACAATCTGCTTCAATCATGGCAGAAAAGTTTTCTGCCCTCTTTAGATAACAGTGTCAATCAGGCATAAGACATAAACTTGTGAGGCAGTAGGCTTCATTCATTCCAGGCTCACAAGCACTACTTGCTTTATTAAACAGCATTTTGCAAGGTGCAAATCATAGTATATT